ATACCAGGGTGACATAAATGATCGTGCAGTTCCTTCAATTTCAGATTTCTTGATTGTGAATTCATACTAGCAGAGATTCTTGACAAAGCGTCAGCAACGTGGTTTTCTCGTCCAGGTCTGTAGATGATATCGTAATTGAACGGAGCTAGTTCCAAACGCCATCTTTGAATTTTCTCGTTCTTTATTTTACTAGGTAATTTAGAGTTAAACATAAAGCTTACAGATCTCTGATCTGTGATTAATTTGAAAGGTTTTCCAATTAAGAAGTGCCGCCATTTCTTCAACGACTCAACAATGGCGTAGGCCTCCTTCTCAATAGCCGAATGATTTTGTTCACAATTGTGCAAAGTTCTAGAATAGAAAGCCACTGGTCTCGAGTTTTGTGAAAGCGTAGCGGCAATTGAATGGTTCGAGGCATCTGTTTCAACTGTGAATGAGATGTTATTATCGATAGCATTAACAGTAGACTTTGCAATCATAGACTTCAAGTTTTCGAAAGCGTTTAGCGCGTCATTGTTCAATGGAAATTGTGGGCTGTGAGCAAGGGGGTGAATTTTCTCTGAGAAATTTGGAATCCATTTAGAGTAATGGGCGAACATTCCCAGTGTTCTACGAAGTGAAGCGACATCATTTGGAGGAGGTAAGTCAAGTAGAGGTTTCAATCTGTCGTTGTCAGGTCTGATGATGTGGTTGTCAATAGAGTAACCCAATATTTTAATTGATTTAAGATTGAACTTACTTTTCTCCTTGTTTAGCGTAAGCCCGTATTTATTAACTGCATGCATAAATTTTTCAAGGTTCATGTCATGATCTTCTTGCGTTTTTCCACAAACAGTTATATCATCAATATATGCGAATGTACCTGATAATTCTTCTTTTCGAATCACCCAATCAATTGTTCTTTGAAAAGCAGATACATCGTTGGTTACGCCAAAAGGAACTCTAGTAAACTGGTATAAATTTCTGGCAGCTTCGAATGCAGTGTACTTCTTTTCTTGAGAAAGAATTGGGACTTGGTGATAGGCACTCTGTAGATCTATAGTACTGAATACCTACAGTGTAATTTGAGATTTTCGTGACAACTTCTTCTATATTTGGTAGTGGATATGCATCTAGTTGCGTGTAGCGATTTATAGTTTGCGAATAGTCAATAACCATCCTTTTCTTATGGTTCGTGTTATTAGTGATCAACACTTGTGCTCTCCAGGGAGACTGGCTTTCTTCAATTATACCTTCTCGTAACAGTTTCTTTACTTCAGCAGCTATGAATAGTTCATCCTCATGTGAGTGTTTGCGGGATCTTATTGCAATTGGTTTGCATTCTGTAGATAAGTTAGTAAATAATGGTACAGCGGGCACGGTTGCTTCGGCTACAGAGCAAATTTTGAGTGTTTGTTTTGGTCCTCCAAATGCAAGTTCCAAACTCGAGTGCATCTGCAATACATCATGACCAATGATCATGTCTGCACATAGGTCTTTTACAATGAGAAGTTCTAGATTTCTGTATGAGCATTCTCCAATGCGAATAGTTTGCCGTGTGAGATGTTTCACTTGTGACTTGAGAGATGAGGAAGCCATTGATACAGTTTCTTTACAATGTTGTTTTCTTAGATTAAGCAGATTCGCGAATCCTTCATTAATGAAACTGATGCTGCTTCCTGTATCGATAAGAGCGTCAGCGCGAACTCCTTTTACGAATGCTGTAACCATAGCTTTTTGAAGCGAAGAAGGTGCAGCAGCGGTGATATAAGCAGTGTAGTTTTCATATTTTTCTTGAAAACAGGCAGCACTGTTTTTACTGCGACAAACAGTTGAAAAATGGCCTTTCTTTCCACAGGTATGGCACTCAACATCCACTGCTGGACAGTTTTTCCGAGCGTGGACAGAGCCACCACAAAAAAAGCATTTACGTTTTGAATAATTTTTGGTTTCCGTAGATTTTGGTATTACAGCTACTGTTTCCACAGTAGAAGACGGATTAGGTGAAATTGCATTGACGATAGAAGATTGAGTTTTAAATATTGCAGAATTTCTTTCAGCTGTTTCCATTGACAGAGCTAGAGTGTAAGCTTGATCTAAGGATAATGTCAGATTCTCCAAAAGTCTCTGACGGATCTCTGATGAAATAATTCCTGCGATAAATGCTCCTCGTATATTCTCGTTTTTATTTGTCTCAGCATCCACTGCAGTGAATTGGCATTCCTTAGACAATTGTTTAAGTGCCTGGAGGTAAGTGTCAATAGATTCTCCAAACTGTTGACGCCTCGTGGCAAGCACATGCCTGGCGTAAATTACATTTCGAGGTTTGATGTATAGAGCATCGAGAATAATAAGCGCATCAGTGTAAGTTTCACAGTCACATACGTACGCAAATACTCGTGGCGAGATGTAGTTTACCAGCAGCTGTAGCTTGACGGCTTCAGAAAGCAATTGAATATTACTTGTTGCATCAGGGCCCATTGTAGTAGAGGCAGATGAGGCTTGTCGAGCTTTGAGAAAATTCTCAAAAGTTTTCTTCCAATGTTCCCATTCCAAGGTGGTGGAACTTAACGTCGGATCTCCGTCAAAGCGTTCGGGACGTAAGAATCTATCCACTTTTTAAATGGAATAAATTGTTATAATACTAATTTTAACCTTTTATAAAGCTAGGCTTTATTCCATTTAAAATTATACATTATAGTAAATGAGTGACAAATTTACATACAAAAATAACAAACGATACAACGTCTAGATCCATTAAAGAACAAATCATATCACAGGCAGACCAGACTACTTTTCTTGTCACCTGCCAAATTACCGGCCGCATCTGTCACTTTTCCTGCCGCACCTTTCATATTGCTAAATATCTATAATGACGCCTGTCATCATTGACAGATTGGCATAAATCAAAAGTCCCGTATGAAAACTGAAATTTGATATTAAAATACGATTTTGGGTAAAATTTGATACAAAACTCCTCAGTAAAATGACATTACTTGACTCGGAAATTAAAGTACTCGGCCTCAAAGGGGCCTAGTACTTCAATCTTTCCTCGCCACGCCAGTATGTGTCATTTTCCTGACTTTTATGTAAATAACTATTATACAATGAAACAAAAATTAAAGTAACTTAAAGATATAGTTGGAATCGGTATTATTATTAAGGTTACAAAAGGTTCTTTGAAAAAAAAGGCTTCCTCCAAGAAAAATTGAAAATTCGATCGCATTTAGAGTAATACGTCAAAGGACCATATCGTTTTTGCACAGGAATATCAAGAATGAACCTGAGTTTACTCGTAGGAATACTTTGCGGGTACTACAAACTAAACAATCACATGCACCGCATGAGTTTGATAGAATTGCCATCTTGTAGACGATGTTACACAGACGATGAGACGGCACACCACATACTTTGTGAATGTCTCGCTTTAATCCAACTGAGACGATCCATGTTGGGGGTATCCTGGCCGAACATGGCTATGATTAGAGCGTGCCCCTTCTATTTCATCTCACGTAGGGGAGGGATTTTATTTATTTTATTTTATCCCTCTCGTTTTTGGGCCCTCAACAGCCATGCGCCCAATTACAGAGTGACCCGCATAATACTATTTAGAGGTGCCTCTGCAGAAGGTCTTAAGTTGGTCTATACTACTCCGGTATTTACCTTACGAATTAGGAAAACTGCAGGAAAACCTAATTCGGAGCAGCCGGTAGAATGCTCGGAACTGGTCTAAGGTAATTTCCGAGGTAATTTCCATCTCCGCCACAGATGAAAAATTCACCTCAACCCAGGTTCGAACACCCGACCTTCGGATTTATAACCCAATGAGTGACTTTGAAGAGTCGAACGGCTCTAGTCAGGGAAGAGCCCGAATTTGGGGGCCTAGGTACGCGTGGACCCTTTCCACCCTCTTATCGTAATCCAGTAATCCAGTGGACTAATAGAGTAGAACCCTAAAGACCCATTCTCGTATCTGGATAATGAAGCTTGTATTTACCTCGACCCCATTGAGAATGTGTGTCAGTCAAATTCTCAAAGAAATAACTCGGGTTATGGATATTAGTGCACAGAAACAAAAAACCAAATTCCAAATTCTGCACACACTAATTTTTCTGCTTATTTGAGCTTGTTCGTAAGCGAAAATTCATTTTAAATATGATTTAAAAGCGCGCCATTGAACTTGGATGATCGTAAAGGCGCACGCTATTGCGATCGAAGTTAAGCTAGGACTCTCTCTTTTCTCTTTCTAATTTTCTGCATGTAGTTGCCTAAGTAAAAAAACCGAAACAGAAGCAAAGAAATTGTTACGACCAATCCTGCTGTGATCCAATAATCTACCCGTATATTCTCCTTCACTCGTCTCTGAACGGATCTACGCAACGTCGCATCTAGTCGGGATCGCCGTAATTGCGGCAACAGCGTGCGCTTTTCTAAATACGCTTGTTTTATCACTCGCTTATCATTTTATCACTCAACTCCCATTCCCCTTTCGTATGGAGCGGTACAAATGTAAATTTCCCTTCACTTAAGTGAAATACGAATTCGACAAATTTAAAACTGCAAAGCAAGCTACCGTCAAATCCCATGTTCTTTAGATCATTTATTCGACCTTTTTTAGCCGTGATGCCTAGCCATAGCTGACCTTTTCCATGTATGACACTTATGCCTATATTTTTGTCTGTCAATTCTTTTGTTAGTTCCTAATCCCTATTGTTTAATGATTTGATTCCAAGTTCACAGTTGGTTCTACGAGCAAATTAATTTGTTACGCTAGCCAGGGAGCTAACGTAAGTATGAATGAAACTCTCCGATCTTACCCGGCCCAGGCTTGAGACAGCAAACATAACAATTACTCAATCCGCCCATAATAAATTTGCCAATGTCCAATACTGTTACAACACTACTACTTACAAAATTCGAAAATGTTTCCAGTTTTTATATGCAAATCGACACATTAGGATTATAGTAAGAATCCGGTGACCAACTGAAAACGATACTAATATTTTTTTCTTTTAATGTAGAAGCATGGCCATCGTATGAAGTGTTCGGCATGTAACGTGATCGCGCATCAAAGTTGCGTTCCGATACTTACCGACAGAGTGCGCTTCACGTGCAAGCCCACGTTTCGAGACGTTGGGGTCAGGCAGTATCGGGAGCAAACTAGTGTTCAACATCATTGGGTCCATCGTCGATCTGAGAAAGGAAAGTGCCGGCAATGTGGAAAGGTATACTCGCATTTCTTGATAATACTGTAAGTGAAGAAAAGCACATGTTTCGCAAATTCTAGTCGTTCCAGTCAAAATTATCGTTTAGTTCCAAAGAAATAGTTGCACTGAGTTGTTCGTGGTGTAAGGCAGCTTATCACAATAAAGAAACTTGCTTCAATATTCAACGAATAGGCGAAGAATGTAAATTAGGTAATCTCCCAGACTTTGGACCTGTTTTTATTCATTTCTGTAATTGAAGGTGTACATAGTAGTATAATAGTTCCTCCCTCGTGGATAATTAAGTTGCCAAAAAAAGGCAGTTTTAAATCTAGTCTTCGGAAATCAAATAAGAAAAGGGCTTCCAGCAAGAAAAGGAATAAGGAAAAAGTAACTTCACGGCGCTTACTCACATTTACATCTAAAAGTGTATTGTAGGACAAGGATCACCGAGCCTTCGTTATTAAACCAATTCCTTCGGCTACTATTACCCCCGTTATTGTTTTCATAAACCCAAAATCTGGCGGAAATCAGGGAGCGAAGTTATTGCAAAAGTTTCAGTGGTTGTTAAACCCCAGACAAGTATTTGACCTAACGCAGGGTGGACCAAGAATGGGATTGGAGATGTTTAAAAAAGTTCCTAATTTACGAGTACTAGCCTGCGGCGGTGATGGTACTGTTGGTTGGGTTCTAAGCATAATAGATCAAATTGGAATAGTTCCACCTCCAGCGGTTGGTGTCTTACCACTGGGAACCGGAAATGACTTAGCTAGAGCGCTTGGATGGGGTGGGGTTAGTTTCCTCACTTGGATTTTCAAATTGAATTGTATGTCAATGTTTTAGGGATATACTGACGAACCAATCTCAAAAATTTTATCAAATGTTAATAACAGTGAAACAGTTTTATTGGATAGATGGTCGTTGGTTGTAGAGAAAAACGAAAACGCTGATCCAAATGAGGAGGGAAAAGACAATTTGCCTTTAAGTGTAGTTAACAATTATTACTCTCTTGGTGTCGACGCTCATATCGCTTTAGAGTTCCACGAGGCCAGGGGTTTGTGTTTCATTACAATTTGGAGCTGAACTAACCGTTTTTCCGTTTTCCAGAGGCTCACCCCGAAAAATTTAACTCACGATTGAGAAACAAAATGTTTTATGGTCAAATGGGAGGAAAAGATTTGCTCAAAAGGAAATGGAAGGGCCTCGCCGACTTTGTTACTTTGGAATGTGACGGTCGTGATCTAACCCCGAAATTAAAGGAACTCAAAGTCCACGCGATCGTATTTCTTAATATTGCTAGGTACCAAGCTTTATAATAATGCGCCGTTTCATTGTAGTATTTGTAGTTATGGTGGTGGCACGAGACCATGGAACCGAGCGATGGGTACCACAGAACCTAGTACGGAAGACGGTCTCATAGAAGTTGTTGGTCTTACAACATATCAGCTTGTGAGTAAGTTTAGGGCTAGCACTTCATAAACTTGTCTATTATATTAGCCTAGTAGATATTAAAGTTCATTTCAAAATAAGATGGGCGGTTGTTATGTCAGATTGGTTCGATTTGCGTAAAAACCATACAAAGTTGGATCGTTATTTTGAACTAAAACCATAACTACAAGTATTTTGCGCGTTTATCATGATATCAGCAAATGTACCTACGAATCTGCAGTTTTGTTGAAAAAATTGATTTTTTAGCCATTACTTCAAGCTGGGGGTCATGGAACGTGTATAACTCAATGTCGGTCAGCTCGTATTGTCACATCGAAAACAATACCTATGCAAGTTGATGGTGAAGCTTGCAAACTCAACCCTTCCATTTTAACTCTTACGCTATTAAATAAGGCTGCAATGCTTTCTAAACGAAAGGGAGGAAAGCCCAACGTACCACAGACTGCTTTGGACAATCTTAAAATTAATATACATAAAATTAGTATGAGTGATTACGAACAGCATCATTATGACAAGGATCTTTTAGCTCAAGCCGGTAATAACTCTATGTGGTAAGATCATTATTTTACGGATTTCATTTTAGCAATAAGTATCGGTGCAATAGAGGTAAATCCGGCGTCGGATTTAGAACAAGTACGTGCGCAAATTAATAAATTCGTGGAAGATTCTAGGGATGTGATAAAATTGAATGATTGGTGCTTTTTAGACTGTAAGTGAATTTCTCAAATAACTTTCATCTTAATCAGGTGGTTTGATATTTTATACCAGCGTGTACTGCAGAACGGTTTTTCCGAATCGACAGAGCTCAAGAATATCTTCACTACATCTATGACGTTGCGTACGAGTTGCTTTACATACTGGAATGCGGCGGTGGAACAGTGCCACAGACTCCTGATGATGAAACCGCCGTTCCTTCACCTAGCTCTAACCATCGAGCGCCTTGTGTTATACCAGAAATGAGAATTAGGTTCGGAAGCGTTTTGCAAACTATTCGCAAAAATTGCACGTTTACGTTTTAGTGACGAAGGTAGCTTAGATTCTCCAAGTGATCATCCTCCAATGTCACCAAAAGCGGCTCAATCTCCAGATGAATCGGGCATCACCACCACTCAAATTGTACCTGTACATAAACAAAATGGTGAAAAACCTCATTTATCAAGTGACACAAATGTTAAAATTAGAAGGTACTTTTATTTTCTTTTGGCAATAACTTACTTCTACACCAAACCACTTATAGACATCCCTTAGAAACATAAATCTATTGTCAGCTTGCCAAAATTTTGTAGCTAATTCTATTATATTTCGACTCAGAACTATGGCAAAACCCAGTTTCAGTCAAAACAAGAACTTTTAGGTAATAGTTGTGAGGCGAATTTTGATACCTATGCAATGTATAATCAGATATTGTTATTTATTCTTGTTAACTCCTACTAGTAATACTAAATTTAAAAGGAGACCTACCTCGTGATGCAAAAGATGCGGTACTTCTTATTACTATAAGCCTATTTAGAGCATGAATGTTTTGTTTTCTTATAATCTTATATCCTATATTACTTCTAATAAAAGTTTGCAAAACTATTTTGCACATTTCTGTTTCCTATTCGAACAAAATTTCCACATTTCTTCGGAGTTTCACTTTCAAAATATTACTTCGAAATTGATAGTTAACTATTTTAAATCTTAGTTAAACTACCTATATATACGCACCCTTTCAAGTTTTTTACTCTTCACTTTTGTGCATGCAGCATTGCTGACAGGTTATTTGGTTTAAATCAAGAATGTTACAGGCCATTTAGGTAAGATTTCTGGATTTTTTTTAACTACCTACCGACCTGGTTAAAAAATTGCATATCTTTTTTGCTGCGTTACAATCCTACAAGTAATTCTGTTTTTTACTTTTAGCAACTTGGAAGAAAGGCCTAATGATGCGTTACTAAAAGCGGCGAAAGTCGGCGATTTGCAACTGGTGAGAGCATGTTCCTTTACTTTACCTATCTATTCTAGACAGGCGGACTAACACGTTTATTTGTTACAGGTGAAACAGCTTCATAATGAAGGATTTTCGCTACTGACGACAGATTCGGCAGGTCAAACCGTCTTACATTACGCGGCAAGGTATGGACATAAAGACATAGTGAAGTACCTTTTAGGATATGGACCCTCAACGTTACTGAATTTTCAAGATAACAGTTTGTAAGTTTTTACCTATCTTTATTCGTGCTTACGATTTGATCGCTTATCAAATATTTAGATGTCATGACAATTATTATTCCCAAAATTAAAAGAATTTTTTTAAATGGCAAAAAATGTTAAAAATAAATTTAAAAAATATTAAATAGTGGTCATATGACCCACACCATCACTGGAAACATTTTTCATTCCCAAACATGCAGAACAATGTCTCATTGAAGTCCTTCAACCTGCAAATCAATATCTGGAAACGTTTCAGCAGGAAAACCATGCACGTTGATTTCCTCGATCGGCAATTACATTAATTTTTCAATTGTTATAGTTTTTACTTCGTGAAATATAGTATGTGGTCCAGCTTTCGAATGAGCGAATTGTTCTAAAGTTGATCAGTTTGATACTCATTAATCAAAACAATTGCCAAATATCCGCTGTGTTAAAGTTACCTACAATCTAAACCCACGCAGTGGAAATGAAAATTCTTAATCACCACACCCTACGACTACCGCATACAATCAATTTTTATATACCTATGACTGACCGCAAGTCTAACAAACTTGGAATTCCCTCAAGTCGCGTTCGCATTTTCTATACTACAACACGTAATTTTCTGTTATTCTTAACCAACATTTACATGCAATGACAGTTCTGAAAATGAGATGGGAAATGTCACAGCATACTTTTTTATAGGTGGATAAATTTGCTATCACAATCTATCACCTCAGCGGAATGTAAGAAACGCAGCCTATAGTACAGAAATATTACATTCTCCACTTAATTAAATTAAAAAAAAAAAGAAATCTGCAATGAAAAGGATAATAGTCCACTGACATAAAGATGCTATAGGGACACCAACTCCCAAAACACTTAACGAGAAAGCGCAAAACTTTAACAAGTATAAATTATGCACAACCCTTGTGCAGATAAAGCGCATTTTTTTAACGGAAATATGCTATACCTATTTATTAATATTTAGCTTCTTGGTAGATGATTAATCAGGAGGAGGTTTTTTGCACATAAACATTTAAGGTAAGCCTGGCATACATTCAAAATCTACGCTACATAATGCAGGAAGGATCAATCTCCGCAATATTGCATTTTTTCTTGGTCGAACCTTTCTCCAGCACTTCATTTTCGAGATATTCACATTTAATTTTTCACATCGCTAGTAGATTTATCTCGCCCATACATTTCATTGTTCTCTATGACCACTCTCCTTTAGTTTTCGAGATGTTTTCTTCAACCTCATAATAGATATGAACGTGTCGTCCAGACGATTCATTTTGTTTTTGTGAGTACCTCCTCCAATCCGTCGTTGGGAGTATAACAGTATAACATATATCAGATCACGGTAAGGAGTCGAGGAGGACTGTGGTTGGTAGACACTAATCCCTCCTCGTTGAGTGATTACTCCACTCCATGAACGTAACAGAGCATCCTTGAGTGGCATGGAGCGTCGACCAGCTTCGCTCAGCGGCTACTAATTCTTCTCACCATCTCTTTTATAAACAATCGATATCGCGAACCTCACTTCCACTTTCTTAATGTCCCACACTCATTAATATCCTCGAACTTTATAAAAACACCTTGTCTTATAGCATGAATAAATCGTTGCCAATTAATGTCTTATCTAGACATCATGTAATTTAAACCACACCTGTCTCTAAATATAAATAAACATTTTACAATTGCCAATTGAAGTAAAGTAAAAGAAATAATTTTGCATTTTTCTCTAATGCTGACCTAAATTCTAATTGAACATAAAGACGAATTATCCATGGCGTAATCAGTTTTCCTCATAAAATAATCGCTCAAGCTCAAATTGTGCGTGGTATCACAAAATGTAACCCCCCCCCCTTCTAGATTTTAAACAAATTTTTGACATTACAAACAATATTTATTTGACCTTTCAATTTCTTGCGCGAAACAGACCTTCACTCTACTGCAATCAAACGTAATCTTTTTTTTCTTGTTTTAAAACATTTACTCTTATTCTCACTCAACTGCCACTCTCCGAAAACAAGCACACTTCATCTTCCATTGTGCCAATTAATACCTTATACTTTTATCTTAATCTGTTCCTTTTCCTTTTATATTAAAAATACGTCATCAACACAATTACCCTTTTCAAAATCAAATTTGGACTTTTCTAAAAACTCTTGATCATACTTTCTAACTTTATTAAAATACTTTTGAACTTTTATACTGTTCTGTCTCGTTCTTTCGTTTTTACTCGCATTCCCTACTAGACAAAAACATTCTTCAAAATTAGTTATACTGCCTCATATTGTTGTAAAAGTCCATTCCCAATATTATATTGTAAATTGAACAGTAAGAGTCTTGGTTGTCTTTTTTTCTTTTCTTCTACTTTTGGTAAAAAATTTTTTCCTGTTTTTATGATGTCACGCACGAACTGACAGAATTTAGTTTAAGTTATATATAGACAATAATATTTAGTTAGACGGGATCTTTACACTACAAGGTTGAGTGAAAGATCAGACTACCGTAAGGTGCGGTGAACTCCGCCTTGACATTTTTGTTTTGTTTTCGTTAGTTGTTATTGATTACACCTTTTTTTTCTTTTCGCCTAGGGGTTTAGCTGAAAATTGGGCTACTATTTGATACCTTCCCCAACAAATTTCTTGAAGCATCCTGTTGGAATGCAAAAGGTTTTAGAAATAAAAAATTATTTCCAATGTAACCCAGGTAGGATATCCATTTTGTGCACTTTTCGTCTTGGGAGTATGTGACATTATGATTTACAAATCAACAGCATTCAAATAAATAAATAGTAAATAGTAGATAGAAAGGATATCTTTACGTACCGACGTAAGAAATACGGTCGCATTACCAAATTGGTGCTGTTTGCTGTACGTTTTTCTACTCTCACTACAACGGCTGTGATTTACGAAAAGCGATGTTTATATTCATTGATCTTCCTAAAAAACTAAGACCCATAATGCAACTTTTTTAAGTACCGATATTCTTTTCATCATTGCAAAGAATATCCGAATTTGTTCGACTTCTACTACAAAAGCAGCATTTCATAAACATTTAGCTATTTTTTCCAATATGGTGGATTGACTACAGAGGAGCCTTAATGCTAAATGCCTCGCCTGGCAGTGCTTCAGCAAACGACGCTTGTAGACTGGATGCAATGTACCACAGGGCTCATTCCTTTCAAATAGAATTCACTTATCATCCACGAACTATCTCGGACTTCGTACAAATAATCCAAGGTTTTATTCATAAACAAATGTCACTATTGAAATCAGGCAAAAGAAAATCAACACGCTGCAATTTTTAAAACAATGCGCTGCAATTTTGGCAGACAATTAATAAATGGAAAAATTCCGGTTTATGGTGAAATTCAGTCCGATTTGAAAGTAGAATTTTGTAGGACGCATTCATATTGGTTTTAGTGAACTGGATCGATCTCACTTTCTCTAAACATCCAAAAAACACTACATCAAGCGGCTGTAGCCGATGCGACGTATGCAGTTGGCAAATACCCCATATGCGTCTTATTTGGTTTACAAAAATTGTATTCATTTAATAAACATGGCTTGTATGATTGTCGAGATCCCTTTGAAAGTTCTTCAATCATTTCAAAAAATTAATCCAACCAGATTGAGAACATTGTAAATGGCACCAGGTGGAACCATCCCTCTCTAATAATGCCCGAATGCCGTCATTCCTTGACGTTTAAATATAAATATAGGGGGAACGTAGACTTAGCCATATAACATGTTGTATGAATACCTCTCTCATCACTAGAAATAACGTTGGCGAATATTGTTACTGAGTTATATAAGTAAACAATTTCACGCTTGATCCTGATCTTGATTCTTACGATACGCTTCTCTATAATAATATGAATGTTCAATTGACACGTTCGTTAGGTACCTACCTACATTTAAGAAAAACAATAATTATATGCGCACCCAATTTTTCTTATCCGTTTTAGTAATTGGAAGTTTTTTTACTGACGTCCAGAAGGTGTGGGTCAAACAAGGATACGTCAATTAGTCTGATACTTCATCTTAATAAGAAAATACGCGGGAATACACCAATCCCAATATTATGAACGAACGTTAATCATCGTCCATCCGCAAACAATTCACACGCAAATGCTTATTTGCGATACGCGCCTTCGTTCATTCATTTTCCACAACTTGCTGAGCTAACGATTTCCACGTAAAAAATGCCATGAATCGACGATCGACCTACCTTTGTGTAATCACAGACAACATAGTATATGTTGTCTGTGGTGTAATATATTGCAACACGTAGAAAAATCGCTGGCCACCTTGACGGCGTTATAACTAGTGCTACCTTTTGATTTATTTTTCGTAAAACTTTCAAATGGCAGGAATTTGTTACTCATTTAGGTATAAATAATAATAAAGCTATATAATTAGTTCTTACATTGATCCCGGCCGGAGAAATGTCTAAAATATCGTGTTATCCACGTAACAAATTTTCAATGTTGTAAAATTTTTACAGGTCAGCTGTCAGTTTTACAAGTCGTGGCGTTTAAACATGACATTTTTACTTCTTTGCGTTTTGTTTTGTTAATCGACTTTTCCTTTCCTATTGAGTAACAAATAAAATATGTTATATTACGTCAGGTAATGGTTTTTACTGGCTCTAGGAGATGACGCGCTCGCCTAACGGCTCACCAGTCAACTTCTATCGTCAAAATTCCTGCAGAAAATTTTTCTTATGATTGAATATGTCAATAGTTATTTCAGGTTTTCCCTCTTGGAGCAAGAAAGATCCACTTACTTTGTTACCTCACAGTCTTACATCTATCAACCTGCTATCGAAATGGTGATGACCGAGGTGACGACCAATATCCACCCCTGATTAAATGACCATTACACTATTAAAAAAAAACTGACAATCGGACGTAAAAACCTTTTTTGCACTCCTTGGTTCTAAATCGCGTTTTCCCAATAAAACACGAAAATCGGGAACGTCAATTTTACAATTGACTATCTACTTTCGCGCACTAGTGCCTAAAAATTCAACGAAATTATCTATTTAGTGCGGATCATAAACTAATAAGTACTATGATGGAAGAGTAAAAAAGAAAATATAAATACACTTTACATCATTCCCTGTAGTACAGGGGCAAAAATAAGCTTAAACCAGAAGTTTTGAACACTAAATTGACATTTTAAATTTCAAGATTTCTACATTATCGGCATAGAGGACTTGATTTTTTCAAAAGAATTATAATGTCGCAAAAATCTCGCGAAAAGGATTTGAATTTATATAAATTCGATTTAACTAATCCGTACAAAAAATAGAATGCATGTTACGTGCGTGAACAGTATTTGCTTGATTCGTGCGAGATGCGTCGCTCGTGCGCGTTGCGCACTCGTGCCGCCAAACTTCGCGCTCATCAGCAAAATAACTGTTCCCACACTAATAATGTAAATAACTACTGCAGTTTTATTTTCGTTATACATAAACTGTGCTAGACTCTCTTTTGCGTTGCTTTGAATCGATGTGGGTTTGCATCTTTTATTTGTTCTTACATTGCAAATATAATTTCGGCTTATTCTTGCAGAGGGCAAACTCCATTACACAAAGCTGCAGCGTATAAATCAAGAGGGATATGCTGCATGCTGGTGGCCGCCGGTGCTGCCCTGGATATTACCGACCATAGAGGTCTTACGCCTCGACTGTTAGCGCTTCAAGCTGAAGATCACGACCTAGCAGCATACTTTGAAAGTAAGTCTGAATTTATTTTAAACGTACCTACCATAACCCTATCTCCATAGGTCAAGAGCACTTTCTTCAGATGGTTTCTAACGATCTGGAGACCTGCGTATAAAATCAGCAATAATAATTATACTTCTCTATTTAATAATTGAATAAAGTACTCCTTCTCTTCGGTGATTGCCTTATTAAATATTTCGATGTAGATTAAACTACGAATATTGTGATATTTGGATTTGTGCGTGTACACACCGCAAATTTGTGAATCTCCCAAATTTTATTATAAATGTGTACTTAAACATTGTTATGACTTATGAGAGATATTATCAAGTACCTAATTATTATCTACTCGAATCTTTTTTCACAATTTTTAATTCTACTTGTATGTGAATACATATCATCAAACATTCCATGATTTCTGTTTATTAGTACAATTTTTTGTTTCGTTGATAATTAAACAGCTTTTATAACCAAACTTGTATATTCCTGCAAATTGCAATTTTCGTACAGGGTATAAAATGTTTGTTATAGTTTGCATGTTGATTGGAATCTTTGTCATTATATCTAATTCAACTAATTTGTAAACTGTTGTAAATATGCCTTTCAACGAACTTTCCAGAAAAGACAATCTATAGTTGTTTCAAATTTTATTGTAAATATACGTATAGGATAGGTTATTATTGTCAAAATTGATTTCTCATAATACTATAATTTTACAATTTAAAACTGCATTAAAGCATCTAGGATTTGAGATTTTATAAATAGTACCTTGTAAATAATAGACTTAAATGAATTTATCGATGTAGATTTTATATTTAATAATGAATATTTATTTTTCAATATTTATTGCATGTAGGTGTAGTCAAATGGTGGAATATATGGACGAAAATTTAGTGAAAGAAGTTCAATTACTTGTAGCGCTGTCCTTGTCAATTAGATGCAGTTGGCGATTTGTAACTCAATAATTCCAGGTTAGTTCGTCCATACATTACATCGTGTTTTTAATAAGTTATTGATATTAAACATCCATTTATGGATAAAAATCTCGCTCGTTAAATCTTTCACTAGCTAGCTATGTACATTTGTACAATTGTGATTTACAATATGAACTTGTAAATGTATAATGTATGATCTATTCCTATAGTTTGGTACCTACCAGATCACAAAGCAATTGGGTTGAGTGTTACACATGTAAGGATTTCACTTTGATGTTGGGTTTTATCTCACGTTATTCCTCTGGGAGTAACTGTGTAGGTACATTTTCTCATCGACTCATTTGATTGGCTTGTTTTTGGATCCCAAATTTTTTCGAATATAATGTATACCTAGGTTCTGCTCATGTTATACGACCTTAACGCGACCGTGCGTACGTATCTACTCGACCTTATGATAATACATAAATAATAAGTACAGGATATAATTAACTACATAGAATTAGATTTAGTTACCTACTTATCATATCTGTAAACAACCAAAACACCAAAATTCTTTGTGGTGTGCAATTACTGATAGTTTGATAATTACCTATCTGCCAGCATTACTACCTACCATTGTTTATGATATTCTCCAGTAACTGTATTGTAATTTTTATTTAATATTTTATAGTGTCTCGTCACAACTTGTCCTAACCTGTCCAGTTAGTTAAACCAAGGGTCCAAGTGTGTGTCTAATTACATTAGGAACGTAAATCTACTTAAACTTTAATAGTACCTCAATCAGATTCAGTACTCACTTAATATGCTTTTAACATTTCAATTTTCCGCCGATCTAGCATTACATAAATTATGTTTAACCGTTTGGGAGCTAATTATTATCAAACTAAATGTCTAAGTTTAGCTTGTTGGTTAGATTAGTAGATAGTTAAGCACTGTTACTTAAATTCTTTTTGAATGATGGTTGTATTGAGAAAAGTTGTTCTATTCTATTTAAATAACTAAGCACATATTAATGTATGACTCGCACCAAAATTTAATACCTATTACATTAAGGAGAGCACTGTATCACATATTTTTGTAATTATTACATACAAAAAGGGGCTAAGTTATTGTTCGTACATATTTACCCAATTTTCTTATGAAATATTGTGAATTTACACACTATCAACACCGCTCTGATTGGCAATTTCTAAATTTTCTATGGCCTGTGTACTAATATTGTATTAAAATAAATAATGAATCACATTAAATACTAAACACATAACGAAATTATAGCTTTTCAATGATTTATTTATGTTAATTTATGAAATTGTTCCTATTTATAAATAATAAATACTTAAGTATCTATATTGAATTTTTATTTATGAGCACTTGGCGGTTTTTTGTCTTTACTACTCCCTAAAAGCAGCAATTAATTACAACAGAAATGTCAGCAACTTACTTACTTGAGTGGAAAATTATCTTTTCTATGTTCTGGAATGGCATTTCAACACAAACCGTAAGCGCTATTGAAATTAATATTGTGGCAGTTGTTTCTGTGAAATGAAGCTAAAATAGTTTCATTAAACACTTTTATTGATACAAAATACGAGTTTACTAGTTCATGCGACGTAAATTCACTTGCTGCCTTTTGAATTCCAACGTTATAAAAAAATACCGGAAATTGTATCAGGTAAAAACTGTAGGATATCTTTGTAAAGTATCTAAAACCTTTCCAATGCAGAAAATCTCCAATCCAACCTGTAAGTAATTGCATTAGCTATTTCTACAGGAATAATTAAAAATTGTTAGTGGGGACTGGGGATGTATCCAAACCTGCGTATCCATTATTTGCTGCGTAAATAACCCATGAAAGACATACGCCGCATAACATTGGAGATACGACCCCAAACAAAGCTGCATGTCTACTATTATACACATATTCCTTGTCGATCATTTGAAAAGGACCCATTACTGCTAACAACATACTTATTACAGCTATGCTCCATCCAAATATTACTTGTGCCTACAATTTTTAAAGTAATGCCATTTATAATAGGCAACTAAATCACCTTGCTCAGATTAAAATTGTATTTAAGAGTATACGCCATAAAAATTCCAGTTGTGTAAATTGTTGCTCTGTGCGTTGGTAAAATATAAGACATATTTGCCGTATCAAACATCTTCTGTATTCTGCAAATCGAGAAAGAAAAACACTGTAATTTAATATACATTACCTACGGTATGCCAAAGTAGATCATATGACTTAGACCATACTTCACGGTAGCCACATATCGCAGTATCGCCGATGATGTCCATATCACACCGGTGACAAAAAATCCCCATTTTCTGTTATAGCAACAGAGAGCCAGTATGTACGAAAACACAAATAATTGCATATCAATTCCAACTTGATGTGTATGCGTCAGACACTGCAGAAAGTTAAGATTAATTGTAGTTTGCAGTTTTGTTTACTTTACCATATTTTCAAAACCAAAATAGTTATGGATGAACAGAAAATTTTTCCACATGTGCTGCTTGCATAATTCTGAGTGATGTTCGACTACCATAGGCCAAAGGGGACCAGAGTTCGTTCTCGGTAAGATATACGTACAAAACAATATTAATGTTACGATATTGGGTAGTAATCTGGAACAACATTGAAATTTCTAATTTTTAAAGTAACTTCAGTGAATAAGTACTTATTCAATGGTAACTTTCCATTATTAGAATGCGATAAGACAATTAAAAATTAAAAATATATTTCGATACAGGTGAAGCCCAACATATAGGTAATGATCCACTCTAGTGCATCAAATTTTTAGATTTGTTTTCAGTCACTTCTTGGGCTTAGGCACTTAAAACAATATCGAACTGTCGATATTGCGTTTACAATAACTTTTTGGCAACGCAATTATTGTGAAGCATATAAATATACTCTTATAATCCTAGGCCAATTTGCCTCCTGAGTATGCTTCATCAAGAAAATTGATCCACTTACTATTTTTTACATGACTTTCTAAATAAACACAATGAACGAAAAAGCTTTTAAGCTCTTAAACATGGAACAAAATAGCCATAACGCGTTGTGCGTATTTCAAGAAGAGCACAGTATTCACAATAAGTAGTAAGTAGAATAGAATAACAGCAGGTTTATCGGAGATTTTATGCCGATGGCGGTTGCTGGAGCTGGAGTGGAAGAATTATTACCGAATACCAGGGAATTCCTGCACAGCTTAAGAAATTTAGGATCTGAAGGGTGTGAATCAAAATTGTATTACTGTATGGAAGTTTGTAAAGGTCATTTCGAGCACTGCATTCGTTGGTTTTTGGGCTGTTATTATTTTCAATTCTTGAAATTTCAAAGGATGATATATCTCGGTAACTATTTGATCCACATTAAGAAAATAAAAACGGTTGTAAGTAATAAAAATCCATTCCAAATTATTGTTTTTATGTAAAAATTTGTTGCAATCTCTAGCACAGGGTTAAGGTTGCAAGAAAAATTTTTGCCTAAAAATTGACCCCCTTTGATTTTAAATTGTTGTCAAATCATTTTTATTTTATTGATTTTGAGGGGGATACAAATTGTCGTTGGAACACCGTGTCGGTATAGATGTATAAGAGACCTAACAAACATTTTCTACAAATAAACTTCTTCCTTATTTTATATCTACAACCAGCACATAGAAGAATATGAAACTAATTGTATTCTCTTTAAGTTCGTTTTATTTTGGTTCTGTCTACCACTCAATTTTCTTATATTGGGCTACTATAAGGGCTACTAAAGTAAAAGCTCTTAGAAACGTTGGGAGAAATTTCAAAACCTAACAGTAATACTGGTCTCACAGCTGATTCTTAGCCCCATAAATTCTTCAAATAATTAAAAGCATTTAAAGTTTCTTAAAACCCCTTAAAATTTTACTTAAAATTTAATTATGTGAATTTACCCTTCATTTCACCTGGTAAGCAAACTATTTGTATAACCATTTTCACTGCACCTTATGATTTTTTATATTTTCTTTTAGAATCAAACTCGCAAAATCGATCATTGTGACGTACCTTGTATATAATATCGCATTATTGTAACGTACAGTTGGTAATGTAACCACATCCTTCATCACCCATAAACGCTATTTTCATTTGTGTATCTGGAGGTTATGTTTACATTGTACATTTTTCAGTCTTGCTGCTTCATAATTTACAGCGAGCAATTAATACGTTTTAATTAGCTTACAATGCCACCGACTATTCAGAATTCTACAAATCCACCCGAAAAGCGTCCGGTGAAGCCCGCAGAAAAAAAGTAATAAAACTTTACTGTAATAAAAATACTTGACAATTGTATTGCAGGTCAGAATTAATCTGCAGAGTGAAATACTGTAACACATTACCAGATATACCATTTGATTTGAAATTTATATCATACCCCTTCGAATCATCGAGGTGAGTCTTGATATGAAACGTACTGTAACGTGCACTGTTAACATTTCGTAGGTTCATTCAGTATAATCCTACTTCGTTGGAACGAAATTACCGTTACGAAGTACTCACAGAACATGATCTAGGGGTGAACATAGACTTAATTAACAAAGATGTATATGCAGTCGAGCCAGGAGCATGTCTGGATCCGGCAGACGAGAAACTTTTGGAAGAAGACATTCTCACTCCACAAGATTCAAAACGATCACGCCACCATGCTAGATCGGTATCATGGTTACGAAGAACCGAGTATATCTCTACAGAACAAACTCGTTTCCAACCGCAAACCATGGATAAAGTTGAAGCTAAAGTTGGCTACAGTATTAAAAAGAATCTTAAGAATGAAACGTTATACATGGATCGAGATTCACAAATAAAAGCGATCGAGAAAACGTTCGAGGATTCTAAAATTGCAATTGAAAAACATTATAGTAAACCAAATGTTGTACCGATTGAAGTTTTGCCAATTTATCCTGATTTTAAATTGTGGAAATATCCTTGTGCTCAAGTTATATTTGATTCAGATCCGGCACCAACAGGGAAACAGGTACCTTCACAAATTGAAGAAATGTCGCAGGCAATGATTCGGTAAGTTATTAAAGCTTAAATTATAGTAGTGGTAATGTTTTCTAAATTTTAAGTGGTGTCATGGATGAAAGTGGAGAGCAATTTGTTGCCTATTTCTTACCGACTGAGGAAACATTGCAAAAACGTCGTGAAGACTTTACTAAAGGTATACCTTATCAAGATGACGAAGATTACGAATATAAAATGGCTCGTGAGTACAATTGGAATGTAAAAAGTAAAGCGAGTAAAGGGTACGAGGAAAACTACTTTTTGGTCATCAGGCAAGATGGTGTTTATTACGACGAACTAGAAACCAGGGTTAGACTAAGCAAGAGACGACAGAAGCCTGGTCAACAAACTAGTAATACTAGGCTGGTTGTTAAACATCGCCCTATGGATGCAGGCGAATTTCGTATGCAACGCTACAGAGAGAAGCAGCTTGAACCTGCAGGTATGTTCAGGAATGTTTGCAATAAATGTGTACACTTCTGAATTGCAGGAGATGATGACGACGAAATGGAAATGGAGCAGGAACAAGCTGATGATGATGAACAAATGGACCAGCAAAATAATGAAAGTCAAGCGGAATCAGATCAAGAAAAACAAGACAATGAAGGAAATGAAACTGCTCACGAAAGTGAAAATGAGAGTAAGTGACAAAAATATTCTGTAAAAGTGGTTTAATACAATTAATTACAGAAAGTAGTGGAGATGAGGAGTCGAGAGCGTCATCAAGATCATCAAATCGTTCTGCAAAGTCAGCTTCCAAATCACCATCACGTTCAAAATCACGGTCAGCATCGAGGTCCAGATCGACTTCGAGATCAAAGTCAAGATCGAAATCTAAATCAGCTTCCCGGTCTAGATCACCATCAGGATCAAGATCTAGATCCCAGTCACGATCACGTTCAAGGTCCAAAAGTAAATCACAAAGTCGTTCGCGTTCACCTTCAAGGTCAAAATCGCGTTCGCGTTCTGGTTCAAGGTCAGGATCAGGGTCAGCTTCTGGATCTGGATCAGAGTCTGGTGGGAGATCGGATAGTGAATAAATGCTTGATATTTTATAATTTGACTCTTCAATTATTTAAGAAGTACCTACCCTACTGTTTATTTTACCTTCCCTGGGTTTTGTAGGTTTAGGCCTTATTTTACAGTGTGTATAAAAATAGATAAATTGAATTGTATAAATAAATATTTAGTAAAATAAAATTACAATGTTCTCCTTTTCTAATCTCCTTTTTTTAAAAAAAGCTAAGAAGATTAATTACTCTACCTAAGTTTCTGGGTATGCCCCATTGATGAAATTTGGTGTCTGAGAGTTTTTGAATAGAATATCAAATACAAAATTAGTTTTTAAAAATTGGAAGTTGGTCAGAACAAAAAATAGTCAGAATTTTATGAAATATGGGGAGTTTACACTGTCGAACAGTTTTTTCATACAATGTTTAAAAAAAAGATTCATATTTTATAAAAATTCAATTCCAAAAAGGAATCGAATGTAGATATCCTAAAAGCTAGGCAAATTTGTAATTTTATTTTCTGTGTTATACTGTTGACGAGATCAAATTTGAAAAGAGCCGTAAATTTGAAACTACTGTGGGCGTAGTTTCCACAATGAAATAAAATACCTATTTAGTTTATTTTGGAAAAAAATGGCCAATCTGTTGAGACCCAGTATAAAACGGAGGTGTATGGGCAAAAACCGACGTGTAAGTCGTAGTACTGACCAAACTGATTGCTGTTTTTACCACCCGCACGTGTAAGGGCATTGGGGTAAAAAATGATTCCCCACTTTTGACGAAAATACACGTTTTGAAGCACCAGGAATCCGAATCAAACAAAATCTCGATGATGTCGGTCCGTCTGTACGCTCATTTCCGGCGAAACGCCTGAACCGATTGGGACCAAATTTGGTACACCATACACCAGGCATGTGAAACACGCGGGCTACATGCGGCCCCCCGTTCTGAAACCTGCGGCCCATCACGAAATTGTAAAATTTAGTTGTACCTACCGTGTGTCCTATTTTGGTTGAGACTGCAGTGTATCTCAGCTGTTTTTAAAGATAGACTTGCGGTTTTGTAAAACGTATAATACCACAAACACAGTAAATCTAGCTGCGTTAGATTCTGAGATACAAGGTGAAAACGAAAAGTTTCTGAGATTTGACCCAAAGTTGGTATTTAGTAGATGCAACACTATGTATATCTTAACTTCAATTTCTTATCATTCCTTTTCCTGATTACATTGATGTATCACAACCTATTTTTTTTTTAAATTTTAGCGATGAAACAATAAAAACCTTGTTTTTTACTTCTTTAAATAGTAGGCCATGGATTCAAGGAGATTTTGTTTTGTTTATTGTTTCCATTGTAACTACAGCAGTCGATGCCAATCAACAAAAATGGCTGACGGTCATTTCAAAATTTTGAAAAATGGTAAATAAATATAGAATGATACATTACTGTAATCACGAAAAAGAATGCAACAAAATTGATGTTAACATACAATACAAGGTGTTGCATTTAAAAAATATCACATTTGGGTCAAATCTCAGAAACTGTTGTCCAAATTTTTTTTACTATGTCACTGGTTTCTACGTAAAAATACCTAAGATAGGCAGTTTTTACTTACATGGGTAGTCAGATATGACAACATCACAAAAAGTTCAATTTTTCATATTCACCCTATATCTCAGACCTCAGAAACAAACGTAGTTGGATTGATTCTGTTTGTGGTATTGTTTCACAAAAAAGTGGCACAGGGTCGCCAAAAACACAAGTCTCTTATCTTTAAAAGCAGCTGAAATACACTGCAGTCTTAACCAACATAGGACACACGGTACATTTTCTTGATAGTGATACTAATGATTTTATGATCATTTGCATTTTTTCGTTTTTTGTATTATTTTGTATACTTTTTTGTTAATAATAAAAAATCTAAATTTTTTTATGTGGACTTTTTATGATGTCCGCAGCTATAAGTGGAAACTTTATAATGGCCCTTGATGATAAATGAGTTTGACATGCCTGCCCTCCACCTATTCATAAACATAAAAGGAAGAACTGAAAATCTTTTGGATAGAATCCCGCATGCGCAAGTGTATCAAATTCTCATTTCCGGCCTCGTTTCCGGCTAAACGGCTGAACCGACTGGATCCAAATTTGGTACCCATATTCTTATACATTAAAAGGGCAGAATCCCACATGTACAGGTGTGCGGGTGGTATCTGTGCTAGCCACAGCAAATTTTTGGGGCACCGTTTCTGAGATTTGTTCCAAAGTTGGCATTTTTTGAATGCAACACCCTGTATATCTTAATAGGATTTATTTTTCATTCTTTTTTCTGATTACATTGACAACCTATATTTTTTTAAATTTTTGCCATGAACCAAAAATAAAAACCTTATTTTTTACGGTTTTTAAATGGTAGGTAGGATTTAGGGAGATTTTGTTTTGTTTATTGTATCCATGGTAAGTAAAATCAATCGATAAAAATTGCTAGCGGTAGAAGCGTGTCATTCCAAAATTTTGAAAAATATCTAATATAATATATAATCATATAAAAAAGTATAGGTTGTGATACATAAATGTAATCAGGAAAAAGACTGAAAAAAATTGACCTTAAGACCTTAGGATAAATCTCCGTGAATCCATGGTCTACCATGTAAAAGCCGTAAAAAATAATGTTTTTCTTTTTGGTTCATAGCTAAAATTTAAAAAAAAATATAGATTGTGATACATCAATGTAGGTAATCAGAAAAAAGAATGAAACATGATTAACGTTAAGATATACAGAGTGCTGCATTTAAAAAATATGAACTTTGGGTCAAATCTCAGAAACGATGCTTCACACATTTTTTTACTACGCCACTAGATTCGACGTAAAAATATCTAAACTTGACAGTTTTTACTTTTTTCTATCTTACACATTATAAGATTTATTATAACATTTAAAAAAATCATACTTTTCACCCTGTATCTCAGACACAAACGTAGTTAGATTGATTCTGATTTCCGGTATTAAAAGTTTCACAAAAAGTGGCACATGGTCGCGAAAACCGCAACAGAAAACAGCTTAGATATACATTGCAGTCTCAACCAAAATAGGACACACGGTACATCGGCCAAATTGTACATGACTTATCTTATAGTATACCTGTAAAACCTTCTGAGAGGAATTGGCACTATATAAATACAAAACATCCTAAAATAAAACACCAAGTCCTACTATAAGAATTAAAGGGGTTTTTACCTTGGGCAACATTCGGGAGACGAGAAATTTCAACAGCTATAAATACATATTTGATCAGAACTACTGTTTTAAAGAAATTTAGGTAGGTATTGCACTTAGATTTTTTAATGTTTTAATTTTTAAATTGTGTGAGCCAACTTAATTTAGGAAATGGTTTAAATTTAAAATAATGTATCTATGTAAAATCTCGAGTAAAATCTCTGCGACTGAAGCAAATCTTTTCTTACATTCCAAATTTTATTTTTTTAATTTCATTTTAGTCAATTTGTTTTCAATTGAGTAGATTTTTTTACCACGGCGACTTGACCGATTCGCAAGTAAAATGATTGTGCAACCTGTCACTTCGGAAATGGCAATATTTCACAAAATTGATTGAGGTAGCACCCAAAACTTTAATTTCACAAATGGTTGTTGGTACCTACTTCGCACAACTACGAGTAAACGCAGCCTAAGCAACGGTACAGCGACAACCTGCAATCGATAGGTGATCTAAGAGCAAGGCTTTACTGTGCGTAGACAGACAAATGAACGGACAGACAGTCGGAAAATCGGGGATAATATTTTGTTGCATTATAGCGTCTATTCACAGAGATTGAGATAGGAGATGTCGTACTTCCATTGTTGTACGTATTAGTAAGCTTCTACAGTGCCTACTTTCCTAAAGGGTTCTAGTTAAAATTCAAAGAAAATTATTTTGCTAAGAACTCCGGTAGATTACAATTATGTTGGAAAGATAAGAATGAACTCCTCCTTTTATCAAATGGGCGGTAACACGTAACTGAAGTTTGAATTCCGCAAGACGTGGCAGCACTTTCCTAATAAAATTTTGCTAGAATTTTACAGTTGCAGCGTCCCGGGCCGTGTCTGTTTACTGGTACATAATAAACTTTTTTCAGTTACTGTGAATGGATTTTGCCAAAGGAAGGTTAAAGCTAGGATTGTATCGAATTTGTTTTGCTACTATTTTTTTTGTTTAAGATCTACGACCCTTTGAATATTGTCTAAAATAGCAATTCTTTATCGCTCTGTATCGTATGATTTAAAGTGACTATTTAAAATACAATTCGATACAATCCTAGATCTCACCTTTATAAACATCATAATCACTGAATTTTAGCAATATTACGTTTCGTTTAAGAATAAACAGACACGGCGCGAAACACTTTTACATAGGGTTTTTGCGCTGGTATAGACCCAGGTAGCACCCTTCGTCTTTATGACGACATTTTAAAGTCATTTATCGTCTGAGACGTCATACGTTCCTTTCTGTAGGTCAAAATGACGTCTTTCTTAAACTGTCATTATGACGGGCGCAAATTTACGTACGATTGACGTACATCAGTATTTATCTTTAGCCATTAAAGTTAACAATTTTGTAAATATAAAGTGATTATAAAATCAACGCGTTTGGTTAGACTTTCATTATCCAAAGTAATAAATATTGAAATAGGTACTGCTTTAAATTCGCGCCATTTACGGTTTCGAAGCTAGGCTGGCTCATCGTTCGTCTCCGTGTTACGTTTTGCAACAGCTTCGTGCAACGTTCAAGCACGGCATGTGCACAAATCACATAGTGTGTCTGTAAGTGCAGATGGCAGCAAGTTATTAATCGTTAAAGTTTGGCGTGTGTTATTTTATTTAATTAAAGTAGGTATTATAAAAATTGAATTTTTTGAACTAATAATTATTTGATCCCAGGTGCATTCACATTATGTACGCAATTGTTGAATTTGATGATAATCATGGGGGAGGGGTTTGCGCAATACCTTCGTTATGGTTGACACCAAAGAAAAAAGAAGCTTTTTGGCCGCCATTTAAGGATCAAAGTAAATTCGATAAGGCACTGTCACAGCGTGAAGCAGTAGATGAAAGTTCGTGGCAATTGTATAATGTATCAAGAATATTTTACGAAACAGGTTAGTTAGTAAATACTAATTATGAGTATTGAGGTTAACATTTTTTCCCTCTCTTTC